CCCCGACAATATCCCCCTCCCCCCTCCCACAGATTTCCCAGACCTTTTCCCCCTCCCTAATCACACATTGATGGAATTAAGTTGGTATGGTAGGGAGTAGGGAGTAGAGATGGGCCGCTCAACCTGGACAAGAGAGGAGTTTAATAGCTGGGCCGTAGGAAGGGCGGATGGGGCTCCTATTTCCGGTCGCCCCCTGGAATAAGGAGTCCCATCCTCATCATTCCAACTGCCACCTACCAACCCCTCTCTTGTGCCTGCTTGAGCAAAACCCTGGAATGGCATAGGCAGAAGTCAATAAGTCACAATTTATCCCACAGCCTGTGCAGTCAAACCCCTGGGCTCCAGGGCAATCAATGTTGAGTCTGCTGACAGGTCCCTGGTTCATCTTCCTGATTCATTTTCCTCCTGCTGGAAACCGGGTCCAGAACGATAGTGCCCTGTTATACCTGCGAATTCGGAACTGTGCAGCAGTCACCCGCGCAGTTATTTAAAAACAAAGACACAATCCCTGACTGCCCTTCAATCCCGGGGCCTCGTCCCACTAGCAGCAATGAGTTTCTGCAGCGCCTGAATCTGCACGTGTTTGTGGAGATGTGCAGAAAATCCGTTCAGTTTTGTCAACCGCACTTATCCACAAACACGTCGAGATTCAGGAGTTGAGGAAACTCAACGGTGCTAGTGGGAGGAGCAAATCATTTGAAATTCAGCCACTTGCCAAGATGACATGGTAACGACAAGGCCCTGCAAACACTACCGATTCAAAAGAGACAAAGCCCATTGTGTGCTACCGCCAGATGCGGTTGGGAAGCAATCTTACCAGAAAACCTGCACTGGTGGGAGGACAAAGCTGAACCTTGGTGAGATAGTTAAAAAAACAGTAAATGCTTGGTTTGAAAGGATGGAATTTGGGGCCTCGCTCCTTCGCCTGCTGCTGTACTCACTGCATTAGCGCTAGTTTTTGCGTTAAACGACGCTGCGAGTTCGCCTGTGCGCTGCATTTTACTGCGCCGCCACACAGTCGTTCTCCTTCGTCGTTTAATCCTAACTCTGGCGTCAATTCGTTGACCACATGGCAGTGAATGGTGATTAGAGGTCATTGTGACAACGAAGAGGTTCGCTATTGTTTTTTCGTGAGTTGTCTGCCCTGTTGGAGAGGTGTGTGAATGATGTTTTTTCCCTCATAGCCCTGTCCTTGAGTGGACAGGGGAATGCTATGCATTCGCGTGAGGGCTTTCTCCGACAACTCCTGTAACGAACCTGTCAAGCCATGATATCTATATGCCGGCATATACGCATTGGACCTGTCATACCCGGGGAGTTGCTCTTCCCTTGGAGCGTCGAGTTGAAGGGTTGAGCTCCTCTCTCACCACCTTGTGGCATGTGAGTCCGGATGCCTCCGCAGCACTATGGAGGAATTTGGGAAGGATCTTTTTTTTTTTCCCAGAAGACATGCTCCAATGTATTTGTGGGGAGCAGCACGTGCTGGGAATCAGGCCAAGCGTCCCATATGAAGACATGTAGAAAATGTTTATGAACAAATTGAAGTACCGAAGCCATTACCCGGTTTCGGTTTGAGAGTATCCTCCAAGATTATAAACAAACTGCTGAAAATCGGGGTAGATGATGAGAAAACTACGAATATAGATGATGAGAAAAACTACAAATCCTTTTTTACGACCGCTAAACACCTCTTGAAATCCACTCGCAATTCTCCGAACACTCAAGTATCTAAGGGAATTCCAGAAGATCGTAACAAAGCTCACCAAAGCTAACTTATTCTCTGACAAACTCATCCAGGCCTCACGCCCCCTATCCGCTAGGTTACAGAGCAACGCGACTCAGTCCAACTCTGACCAGTGTCATCCTGTGTCAGCAACCCCCAGCTGTCCCTTAGGATGCCCCCGCATAGCATCCCCAGATCTCTCTACAAGTGTTCATGCCCTCACCTTCGACAAGTTACAGGGCATCACCCCGGCTCCGGCCAACGTCGTTTTTTTTTGTTTTTTTTTAAAACGAAACACCCCTGTCGTTGTTAGTGGTGCTGATAAGAGCAGACACCGCTAGAACCTGGGGGGAGGCCCCATCTATTGGTGGGGGGCATCACCTGCTGGAAAATGGGTCCAACGTCCCATGTACAAATTGAATGTTGGGATACATCCGAAAAAGGTTGCGGGGGGGCCTACCATCATTGATTACCTTGAAATCCAGGGGATTGACTGAGCAGGGCCTTAGAGAGGAGGGGGGACCACTTCACCCTGGACCTGCCACTGCACACTGATTCCTCCCACCCCTAACTAGCCCCCCCTACTCATTGACCCAGAATGTTCAAGCTGTGTGGTAGAGAATAACCTCCCTGGGGGGCTCCGGAGGGCCATTTCTTATCTGAGTATGAGTCAGCAGAAGATGGGTTAACAGAATTGCTCAGTCAGGACAGGATTTATGCCAGGGAGAGGGCATGGGGTGGGAAGGGGTCGGGGAAATCCAAGGGGTGGCGGAGTGGGAATGAGGGTTCAATGTTTGTCCAGTCTTTAAAATATAGGCGATAGTCTCTCCTCTCTTCCAAATCCCATTGTCCCTTTCCCTTGTCTCCGCTCCATTATACTTTCGCAATTCATCCTTCTCTCTCCCCTCCCACCTAGTTTGTGCAAAAGGTTGTGATCCGTCTCCTGACATCTCCTACCTGTTTAAGGAGGTCTAACTGTGCTTTTGTGTCTAGCCATCTCTGTGTGAGTTCGAAGTGTATCTGCTGCTGAATCTGTTCAGTGATTTTTTATTCTTCTACTCTCACCTTTTCCATTGCCAAAGTGCATCTTTGCCACCAAAGTGCCCATACGACCGCTCTTCTCCCAAGGTTATACATGTTTTTTACGAAGGTTGTAGTTGCTTCTGCCTGCGGCCAATGGCCGGTCAGAATGGCTTGCCAAGACCAGGGTCAGGGGGTTCCTGGTTCCATCTTTGATCCCACCATCTCCATATGAATTGGGCTATCGGGCATTGCATGAAGATATTTTCAATGGTTTGACACCGTTGGCACCATGGAAGCAGCAAGCCTTTTTGTTCTAAGTTAGTGTGATCCGTTAGCCAGTCATTAGTTGGTAGACAATGGTGGGCAATCTGCCATTGCAGGGATATGATTTTCATAGATTTTGTTTTTTGTTCTTGGAACCATTTGATTGGCGACAGGAAAGAGTGATCCACATTCAGGTGCCCGGCCCATTGGTTGTTTACTATTTCCCTCAGCCTTCTTTTAGGTCTGAGCATTTTGTAGGCTGATTTGGCTGACAGCTGATGGATGCTGATACGTTTTGTTGTACGATCCCATGTCCAATCTGCCGGATCCAGGGCCAGATCCTGGATTGGTTTGAGAGGCTGGAACACCACCTTCTGTCCTTTCCCTTCTAGGATTCTCACCTGGTAGGCCGGTACACAAAAGTTCTCTCCTTCCATTCGAAGGGGGTTGTGCTGCCTTGGAGAGTGTCTGCTCTAGTGATTGTGTAATGTTCAACCATGACAGAACGGGGTGAAACCATGTGTATCAGACCTACCCTATGTGGAGACTCTTTACTTGCTGCCCAGTCACATTCTTTTAAGATGGGGTCTCGTTTAAGGGTTTGGTACCAGGCCAACGGGATAGCTTCAATCAGGTTATTCAAGTGCTCCTCCACGTGGCGGCAGTAACGTAAGATTCCTCGCATCCGATCCCCTGTTTTCCAGTCCCTTCTATCTTTGTCCCAAAGATCCCCAACTCTAAGCACCCCTCTCTTAACCCAGTTTTTCCAGGGCGAGGATGAGCTAATCATGACACAACCATTCGAGTTCGTCACCCATCAGTTTCCAATGGTCAGCGTCGTTCTGGCATGGAACAACCACGGATCTGAATATAACAGTCTAATTCCAGTGCAGCTTCCTATAAACCACCAACAGTCCCTAAGAGTCCTGAGAGATTCTTCAAACTACCCGGAAATAACAAGGGTGCTTGTTTTGAATATTCCAGTAAGAATAAAAAAAGGTCCCAACCAAATTCAAGCACAGGGTATAGAAATCCCCCCCTTTCCCCTCATCCCCCTGCCCCACCGCTGCCTCCACCAAAAAGGACCGCCCCTAATCACGAGCACTCCTCATCAGCCCCAACTTGGGACAGACCCATTTCCCCCCTTTACTCCCACAAAGGCATCCAGTTTCCACCCAAAGTATGCCTTTGCCAACCCCTTGCTCTTATCTGCCTCCGCTGGGATATGATGCTGACCCATACATCTCCCCCAGCCCCAGAATAGAGCATCCCCCAAAATCTGCCCCGTCTCCCTTCAGGGCAATCACCTCCCTCCTTGTGAAGCCCCTGCAGAATAGAGCTCTCCCCCAACCCACCCCCTCACCAGAAGTAATTTGTTTACACTAAAGAGGAGAACCAGTATTCCGGACGTTGCTGTAGATTATTTCCCCCCCGCCCCTACATCTCCCCCTATCCCTCCCCTGCCTCCACCGAAAAGGACTGCCCTGATCACAAGCTCTCCTTATCGGCCTCAACTTAGGATATACCTGCTTCCTCCCCTTACTTCCACTAAGGCATCCAGTTCCACCCAAAGTATGCCTCAGCCACCCCCTCACCCCTATCTGCCTCCGCTGGGATATGATGCCAGCCCATACATCTCTCCCAGCCCCAGAATAGGGCAACCCCCAAAAATCTGCCCCCACTCCCTCCAGGGCATTTCACCCCCCACCTTGTGAAGCCCTTGCGGAGTAGAGCTCTCCTCCTTAAAACCCAACCCCCCACCCACACGAAAATAATTCATTAATGCGGCCGAAGGGGAACCAGAAATTAATAGTGGAGAAAAGAAAAAACGAGCTTCAAGAGTTCTAGGAACTCAAATTCCTAAGATATGAGTGGAAGAATAGAAATTTTCTGAGAATTATGATGAAGCCCTGCTGTGTTTGGTGAAGCTGATGGCAAGCTAGGATTCGCGGCCTTGTTTACCGAGCGCTAACTTCCGCTACAGACCAGCCGGCGAGGCCCGGCTGCACTCTGGAGACTAGGGCAGCGGCGACCATCGCTGCTCTTGGTCATCCTAACTGCCCGTTAGGTTGCTTTGACCGAACGATGGTGTATGATTCACCTGGCAGATTAGAAGACGGCACATGGGTGTTTGGTGCGTAATAAGATATATGGCGGCGCATTTCTTACAAGTGGGGGCGATGGCCTCAGTGGCACAACTACAACACGATGCGGACGACTGGTTATTCACCATTCAGGAGGGCGGTGTGCGATTGCGAGGGATTGTGGAGGCTATGTCAGCGAAGGGAAGGGATTGGCGCGCGGTCGAAGGGGGGGGGACGGCGTTGCTGACCTGGACGGAAAACTCCATGCAGGACATGTTGGAGGTCATTTGGGAACTGGAGGAAGGGTCGGATCCCCGGCTGGAAGACCTCCTTGATTGGCGCCAAGCAAAAACCCTCATGCAGCGGTGTTATGCGATCTTTAGGGAGGGGCAGAATCTGTACGATGCGATCATGGCGCAGGCTCTTATGATGACATCGCCTGCAACAACAACACCGGCGACCGTTTCGTCGACTATACATACATCTGCGGCGGTGATGCCGACAACAACGACACCAACAACAACGACAACAACGCCGGCACACGCGATACCAAGGATACAAGCTACATCAGCAAAGCTGTGGACGGGCAGTGGCGGCGATGGTGACAACAAAGACTTCGATAACAACCACAACAACGACACATGTGAAACACGCGACAATAACGACAACAACGACAATACTTACGCCAATGGTGTCAGCAGTGGCAGCAGAGGTGATGATGACAACAATGACACCGACAACATCAACAACGATGATGACGTATAAAATAATAATGACAACAACGACAATACTTCTTCGATTCCCCCCTCTAGTGGTAGGGGGTTTTCCTTTGCATTTCCAGTCTTTTGTTGGCCTTGGGATAGGGGTAGGTTAGCTGTTGACTAATGGTATAAGGGGATTGCTGGCCTGTGGTTCCTGAGTATGATTGCCATGCATTAGAGAGGCTAGCTAGATAGGTTTGTGGTTGATGGTTAAGGACGACATAAGACTGTGGGCTGTTGCCCCC